GTTGCTCCGCTTTGATCATCGTTTCCTCTGGCTGCAGCTGAAGTGGAAACACCCAGCTCGCCCCTACCGGGCTGCTGCTCCCCGCACCAGGTGCCTGCGGGGCTCTGGCCAGCTGCTGAAATCACCCCCTTGCTGCCTTTGCTACTTCTGCAAGTCGTTGCACACAAAGAGGCTGTTGAAACATCTTCTGAAGTGGTCGAGACCTCACAAAATCTGTTTCTTTTAACTGGGAAGAGTTTCTGTCCTGACAAGTCTGTTTAGCCCGATATCAGAGGCATTACAAAACTGTTTTAGAAAGATGCTGGGAAACTTTTGCCAGAGTCGGAGCTGGGTTTGGGCCTGGCTGTGAAATCTGCAACGCGTTTTTTGCCAGCAGAGGGGAATGAAGCTGTTGCTGTTGCTTTGCTTGCTCGCGCATCAGTGGCCATCGCAGTGGAGAAGCAGCACTCTGGGAGTACAATAACAGCGTGAAGAACGCTTGGTTTTCCTTCTCTGTCCTGCTGCAGGATGCTCCCTTTAGACTGCTCCTTCCCCTCCTTTGATCTCCTCAGGCCTTCTTTCGGAAGCGTAGACCCTCACTGAGAAAGGGAGCCGAGCTAGAGGAAGAGCTCACTGCCGCTGCTGCCATGGCAGCATGCCGTCAGGGCCAGGCCAGCTTTTTGGGCTGAGCCTACGTGCCATCACAGATGACGGTCCCGAGGTGTTGGACCTCCCCGCCTCTCCTGTTTGCACGTCTCGGGGAAATGAACACCAGGCAGACCGTGGGAGGCTGGTAGAGCACTGAGTCGCCCTCCCCTTGTTCCTGATCAGGTTCTCCCTGCAGGCAGTTGCTGCTTTGAAGGAGCCACGGGACTGCTGAACTGTCTCTACTGCTCTGCTCGAATCTTAAATAAACACCTGAGATCTGAAGGAAGACCATTGAGAGAGACACCTCTGCTGCCAGGCAAAGCTATAGTAGTCTCTGCGGGTGATTAGATGACAGTCCCTTGAAAATGAACTGATTTCAGTGAGGAGACTGCTGTGTTGGCCTTGCTCGTTATTCCACACATACTTACAGCTGGTCTGTCTCATTGACAGATTAAATCATTTAATAATGCTAATGATGCGTTGAGATCCAGGTTCTGATTTTCACCACGAGTTCATATTTTAAAAGCCCAGCTCAGCTGCAGGTTGCTGTGAATCAACTGCAATTGCCTGTAAGCCTCCAGGCACCGACATGCCTTCATCTGCTCTGCTGCTGCTGCTGGTGCCTGCCTCCTGAGACACTCCCCCGAGGTGAGAGCAAGAGCAGGGACAAAGTCACTCGTGTGCATGACTACCTTCAGCATTTTGGCCAAGCTGTGCGCTCTGTGCTTGAAAAACTTCCCTCCTGCACAATGAACAGGAGGCATCTTCAGGGGATGGCCATGACCACAAACAAAACGCTGAGCCTCGCTTCATCCCCCGAGCAAGTTAATTTTTCAGCCCTTCTTGCTGCACCTTCACTCCTCCAGCAGCCCAAAAGGCTGGGAGAATTTGCGTTTGAGAAACCTCTGCAGAGGTTGGTATGGAAGATGGGGTGGGTCCCAATGCTTTCCTCAGCTGAGAAGAGGAGAGGATATTGCCTTAATTTAAGGCTGTCTTCACCTAGGAGTTCAGTTTCCTGGCACTAAGGTTGATGCAAATTGGCAAGCCTTGGGCTTGCACGCTTGAAAAAGGGGCTCAATCAGAGAACGTTGCTCCTGAAAGGAGGAGGGACAGGGGGAAGCGGGGAGATTATACACCAAGATACAGGAAAAGGACACGGGAGTACAGAAAGTGAATAGAAAAACCGTGTTGAGCAGCTATGAGCTGTTTCTCGAAACTGAAATGAGACGCTTCAGCAGAACTAGAGGGGAAAAGGCAGCTACAAAAGCCCAGGAGGTGTATTAAGGCTTGCTTCAGCAGCGTACGTCTTACTTAGGAGCAACTCATATGGTGGCGTTTGAGTACCACGTTGCTCTTGAACAGATCTAATAATGAATGAAGACTGGGGAAGCTGAGCAAGTATTTAAAACCGACTGTTTTTTCCCTTCTATTTTGATCGATATTGAAAGTATTTTTTTTTTAATTAATAAAGAAAGCCCCTTGGCTGTGTGTCCTACAATGAAGTGCAGTCAGATATGAATTGTGATTTTAATCCAGGAAGAGGAAATCTTAATTTAATAATTGATAGGCTGTAGCTAAACCTGGAATGGTTTTGTTGACTTAAGGTACGCTCTATTTTATTCCTGTATTTGTCAAACTCATTATTTAAGAATGGCAAGTTGTATGTTTTCTTTCTGAACAGCTGTTTGCTTGCTTTTTTTTTTTCAACTTGCATTTGCCACATCTTGATACAAATAACAAGAAGAAATATACTGAAACAGTATTTTAGAGTGCTATTAGTTATTTAAAGCTGACTTAAAGGTGGTTTAGGAAAAAATATTCCTGTTTAAAACCAATTGAACCGTCAAGAGTGATTATTGTAGCTAGGGGATGTACTGCGTTGCTTTGGGTCATGTTTGTCAAGATGCAGACCTCGTCGAGCTGATCCTTCCGTTCCTCTTGTTTAGTCGCAGCTTGGAAGAGAAGCGCGGTTGTTCCGGCTTCTTATGCTTCCAGGCAGCTGCTCGGTTTCGAATTAACTGGCTCTTGAACTGAATTAGCAGATCAAAGTGAAATGAGGGAGCAGAGCATTTTCTCCTTCCAGGTACAGAAGGATCATTGCTGTCAAAAATTGGCTGAGTACACAAACAAGCTCTGGTTTGGGTTTGTAGCTGAGGACTTTCCACAGATCAGTGATTTCATTTTCTTTTAAATGCGGGCCGCAATCACCCAGTTCAATTTATTTAAAGTCCACTGTTTTAGTGGCTAACTTGAAGACTTGGTGTAGCTTGTCATAAGTTCAGGTGTTATTTTAAAGAGGAAAAATATTTCATTTAAATATACTGGGAGTCGTTTTTCGACCTCCCCGCCCCAAATAGAGCGTGCAATAGGAGCATGGCAGTTCTCAATTTCCTATGGAGGCTGGTGGTTAAACTTCTTTGGTTAGTGAGAGTCAGCCCAAAAGCATTTTATTTTTAACGTGCAATTTTTATTGGCCTACCGGGCGCAAAGGTGGGGAGCCTGGCCGTGAAGCGTGAGCGTGCTGCTTTGGGCCGGCATCCTTGGCTGCCGCTGCTGTTTCTCATGCATGGGAATGGGTTGCTCACATCTCCCTGCGCTGACTCAGAGGCTGTTTGACCATCGGCAGCTGGAATATCTTTGTAAAATGCAATGCCAGGGTACAGTACTGCCTAGGACTCTGACCTTGAAAGGAAGCAGCTTAGGGTACGAATGTAGTGTATAGTAGTAGTTAATTCTTGCTTAAAGTATACTTAAGAGGTTTGTCCTATTGTAGACGGAGGTGGAATCGTCCTTCGAATTGATCAGAATTAGGTGGCACAGTAAAAGAGGGTATGAATAGCTGAGGCAGCGGAAAAGAGAATTTGCTGTCAAATGAGGTGGAAAACTGCTGCCTGATTATTCTGATTTTTCCAAGACACTGCCCTCCTGAAGCTACTAGCGTTACCTGGACTCTAAGGTAGTGTCATGTAGGTAGGTGACTGTGAAGACTTTTGATATGGATTGGAAAGCTGGTTTTATTTCCTCTGCCGGGATTGCTGTTTGTTTTGAGGTGGTGGGGGGAGATTATATTGCAGCAAATCTCCTTACGTTGCGCCGTGGGCAGGAGCAGGGAGCGCCGCGCCGGGATTTACGTGTCGCAGCTCTACGCCGCGTGCCACGCAAACCTGCTGTGCTCGCTGCCAAGGCTGCCCCCGGCAAAGCGTGCCTTTCAGACTTCGCACTTCATTTCTGCTGCGTTCCCCACGCAGCCTTCACCAGGCATTTGCCTAGCGAAAGCTGTAGTTCTTGGGATCCAGCCTTCTCGCAAACTGTTCCCGCTTTAAACCGAGCTGCTTGCCCTGCTGAAGTTGGGATTTGGCTGTACCTGAGCAGAAGTGCTGCGGTGCAGTTCTGTTTAATTAAAAAGTTCTTCAGTTCGGTTGCAGCCCAAGGCCTAATGTGAAAACCAGCCACCAATTTTCTAGTTGCTTTACCGCTTTTCATCCACCAGCACGTTGTAACGATGGCTTGGCATGCCTTCTGCAATGACTCTTTCAGTTGGAACTCTGCTAACTTTATTTTATTTGTTGTTTTGATTTGTGGAAAACAGATGCTGCAATGGATCAAATCATTTGGTTCTTTGGAGTTACTGCATAATATAATTGTTTTTTGAGGTGGCAGATTTAATATATTTAAATTAAAAAAAAAAAAAAAATCCAGCCTGGGAGGTTTTGTACGGGCACAAAACAGGAGTTATTCTTTCTCTAAGAACAATTATGAGTGTGTCCAACCTTTTTCCTCTGCAAGGGGAAATCCAAATAGGATGAAATAAAAAAAAAAAAAAAAAAAAGGTTGTAATCTCTGGTGACTAAACTTGCCCAGGCTCCTTTTCCACGCCTCTTCCACTTGCTTGACGTCATACTATTTTTGTCCCTTTGCAGCTCATTGACACAATTGCCTCAGAAATCGGAGAACTGAAACAGGAGATGGTGCAGACAGATCTCACACTGGAGGATGAATCTGCTGGTTTGCAAAGGTGATGAAAAATGTTTATTTCTGTAGTTCCTGGGGCGGGGGGTGACAGGACAGGCATGTTTTCGTGGTGCTGTTTTCTGGGATGGCACGCGCCCTGCCGCGTTTCATTCTAGCAACATAGAAGGGCGTAGGTAACCTTG